AACTTTGAACCTTCACATTCTCCATGGCTTATCTCCCCTGAGGGAGTAGTATATTCAACCTAACCCTTTGAAATATTTTCCTTTTCACCCTCCACTGAAGAATTATTTCTTCAGTGTCTGCTAAAAGATCAGTGACTTTTCTGAAGTAAATGCCATACAAGACAACACTGATGTCCCTCAAGGCCCACCAATAGACCTATAACTAGACTCAAGGCAAAGCAGGTCCCTAGAAGAAAAAGTGTAGTTCATGAGGACATGCACTACACTACTAAAGAGCTTCATGATTTTGCTAATTCTTTCAAGGAAAAGTGTGGAGAATATGTGTGGGAATAGATTTTCAAGGTGTGGGAGAATGTTGGAAAAATAGAAAACTGGATTAAGCTGAGTTTATTGATATGGGTCCTCTGAGTAGCGATTCTAGTTAATATGGAAGCTCACACAGTTATAAAAGGTGGGAAAAGTTTGTTTGAATGTTTTCCTGAAATAATTATCAAATATGGCCTACTGAAAAGGAGCTGGAGATGCCTCACATCCTTTGGCTTAATGTTGATAAGGGATTTTTAAGGTTCAAGGAAATTTCAATGCTAGAGTGGATATGCTGTGTAAAACCTAATTCTCCACAATGGGAAAGCCCAGAAAATATGTCCTTCATTAATCATATAAGATGCAAAATTGTGAGAGGGGCACCAGCACATTTGAAAACTTTTGTTGTGCCAGATATTAGGGTTGAGATGCTGGCACTCAGCTGGATAGATTCTATGTCATAGGTTTAATTAGGCCCAGGGGTAGTAGAGGCCAGGTAGCAGCATTGAATCACCAGAGGCAAGGCGATTGTAGTTGTCATAATGGGCAATGTATACAAAATAAATATTTACAGTGGTCTAACCCATAATGCTAAGCACAGGCAAAGTGAATTTTATAATGGAATGACCATATGAACCCTAGTACTGGCTAATCAATCATGGCATTTATAGGCATAAAATAAATGAGCTCACTGCATTTCTGTTCAGTTTGTATGAGCAAATTTCTCAAATAATTGCAAGAAAGACTGCATTGAATAGGGACAAAAGGCAGTCTTGGATAGTGAATCAATTTCCAGAGTTGAGCCAGTTTGCAGCCCCTGATCCTCTTGAGTGAAGTGATTGCCAGGTTCCCCTGAGGAAGGATCCTGTTGAGTCAACTAAAAGTTTATGGTTAGCCTTTATCCAGTTTTTCCCCAGAAGGACCTGAGGCCTTTTATATGGGTAGCTGTACAGTGGGGGAAAGGAAACACTCAGACTTTCTGTGGTCTGTTGTAAACTGCTCTGAATTGACACTGATTCTGGGAGAGCCCAAGAAACATTGTGGCCCTCCAGTGAAAGTAGGACCTTATGGAGGCCGGGTGTTAAAGGAGTTTTGCTGATGTCTGACTCACAGTAGGTAAAGTAGGTCCATGCTCTCAATCTGTGGTTCTTTCTCTAGTTTCATCATGTAAAATATATATATCAGAATTTTCACATTGGTTTCTTGATCTCTGGAGTGAGGGCTATTATGTTTGATAATGATAAATGGAATCCATTAGAGTTGCCTCTGGAAAAGAAAATAGTGAGCCAGAAATAGTATTTCATCCCTGGAAAAACTGCAAAAATTAGTTCTACCATCAAGGACATGAAATATGCAGGATGGTGGTTCCTATAGCATCTCCTGTAAACTCCATATCTGACCAGTGCAGAAAAAAAGATGGACTGGGGTCATTGACATTTGACTATGGAAAACTCAATCAGATGATATCTCCAAATGCAGCTGCTGTGCCAGATGTATTGTCCTTACTTGAGCAAATTAACACCTCTCCAGGTATACCTATGCAGCTATTAATTTAGTAAGTACACTTTTCTTGGTATCTGTTGATAAGAACCACCAGAAGCAGCAATTTGCTTTCAGATGGCAAGGCCAACAGTGTACCTTCATTGTTTTACTTCAGCAATATATTAACTCTTGCCCTGTGTCATAACTTAGAAGGATTCTTGATCATCTTTCCCACAAAATATCACACTTATGCACTGTATTTATGACAATATGCTGATTGGACCAAATGAGCAGGAGGTAGCAACTACTTTCAACTCATTGGTAACATATATGTATCAGAGGATGTGAAATAAATATAACCAAAATTCAAGGATCTTCTACCTCAGTGAAATTCTTAGGAGTATGGGAGCATGGAGAAATGGTTCTTCTAAGGCATCTCCAAGAAAGATTATGTTTGGAGGACAGGAGATCCCTGAGGGTGTCTCTTGGTGCTGCTACTGTGTCCTGTGATTAAAGTGAATTGGAAACTATCACAGCCTAATCCAGGCAGGCTGACAAATGGCACAGACTCATCAGTAATGATGGTATAGGTCACTTCTCCAGGAAAAAAGCCAAGGCCTGCTGATATGCTTGTAGAGGGTAGAGGAAATACAGGATGAGTAATAGAGGAAGATATATTTTTTCCTTTCTTTTTTTTTGAGACAGGGTTTCTTGGTGTAATAGTCTTAGTTGTCCTGGAACTCTACAGACCAGGCTAGCTTCAGACACGCAGAGATCTGCCTGCGTTTGCCTTCCTAGTGCCACTGCCTGGTCTTGTCCCGCCGCCGTGCCCGCCCCAATTAACACACCGAGACTCTGTATTAGATATAATGCTGTTGGCCAGGTACTAGTTTCTTATCAGCTAGCTCTGTCTTAAGTATTAACCCATTTTTTTAAAAAAAAAAATATAAGTATGTCCATGTGTTCTAATCTTACCGGGGAATACAGCAGGTATCTCGTCTCCCCAGTCTCTCCATGTTGACTCCTCCTTACTACTTCCTATTTCCTCCTTGTCTCCTAGTCCCTCTTATCTTCCTCTCCTATTGGCCAACAGTGCTTTAATCATTAACCAGTATGAGAAACATATATACAGAATGACATCTCCCATCAAACATGAATGTTTCTGTTGTATGTATTGAATGTATTTATACATATGTTTGTGTTTTCTTCTAATTTTCTTATCATATGTAAGTTTAAAACACTAGAATGATGTTCCTCAAGGGACATTGCCACTTATTCTAAATTTATAATGTATTTGAAGTTGTACAAGGGATAGTTTTATCATGTTAGATATAATTATGATTTGGTTAAATATATAATGAATTTGTGATTGTATGTGGGGTAGTTATATTATGATTAGGAATTATTATGACTTATTTACTGTTTCAATTTGTAAGTTACTAATGACATAAGGAGATATGAATGCGCAACAAGTTGACAAGAGGTGGATTGTGATGACTGTGCTTGGTTGTTAAGTTGACTATATCTGCAATGAACCACAAGGAACACTTGTGATCCAGATCATGAGTCTGGAACACACACCCCTTTAATCCAGATCTTGAGGCATGTTTACACATGCCTTTAATCCAGATCGTGAGGCTGTAAGGCATAGCATTCACCTGGGCCATACCTTCTGCTGGAAAAGGGCCCTTCATTCTTTATTCTACTGTTTGCCTTCACCTTGTCAGCACACCCATTGCTTTCTTGTCATTGGAGCCTAATTTGTTGTCATTCTAGCATATATAGAAAACTAGCTGGGACTCCCTGCCTTGTGTGAATGAATAACTACCAGATTATAGAACTTTCCATTCACAGCTAATCATTGTGGGACTGCGACCTGTAAGTCATTCCAAGAATTTACACATGTGTGCGTACGCGCACTAACACACGCGCGCACACACACACACACACACACACACACACACACATACACCTTGGCATTATGCTCATTCCTTTAAAAGTATGGAAGTTGATTCAAGAAATTCAGTGTCTGTTCTAATGAGATAAGAACCATCAGTTTATCAGTGTCTCCCATCAGTCTTCCCACTATGAGTACTGAGTCTAAGGTCTGATAGGCGTTAGTGTGAACAATGAAGGTACCATTCCCTGAGAAGGGCTGTATTCTTTACAAAGTTATACCAATAGTTCCCAATACCTAGGAGTCCCTGAGCATATGTCTTTAAATATGATGTTTCATCGCATATGTCTTTAAATATGATGTTTCATCGCATGCTCATCTCCTTTATCTTCAGAATATTGGGAATTTTGTCTCAGCCCACCAGATGCATTAAATCCATATCATGCTAGTAGAAAAGTGATTAGAAAAAGAACTGTCCACAGACTATGACAATCCCAGATCCTGTTTACCTGTCAGGACTAAGGAGCCCAAATCTACACTGGCATTCCTCAGATCAATCCACCTCTCATTTGTTCTTATAGAGCTCTTAGGTACTGTGGTATGTGTATTGATGTAAATCTCATGCTGTCAGACAGCAGTGCAGAAGAGTCTATGGATATGTCAGGAGTCAATATGTGATATGAATTCTGAATAGGCCCCAGTGGCACAAAACAAATAGAAGGGACCTCAATGCATGCAATTCCACTTATCCCATTGAGGGTCCTGGACCAGAGGCCTTGCCAACATTCAGTGTCTTGAGTACTTTTTTCTCTCATGTTTCTGCCAGTTCCTAGAGGGAAGGCCAACTAGAAAGAAAACTGACCAGTGAATCTCTGGGAAATATCCTACCAAGAAGATCTGTAAGTTGGCTTTTCTTTTCAGAGCCACAAGGGTTGAGATTTTAGCTGAGACCAATTACTATTTCTTTCCTTTTCAGGCTCATCACCCATACACCTGCTCATACTTCTACCCAGTATCTCCTCTAAGAGTCACCATGCATCCTTATCAAAAGTATGTATGTCTCCGGCTAGAGGGTGACTGCAAAGATCCAAATGAAATGGAGGACTTGATGTTTGTATTGGTTCCCATATCCAAAGAAGAGGAGAGGGAGGATGGAGATGAAGAGAAGGAAGAAGAGGAAGGAGAAGAGAAAGGGTATGAAGGAGAAGAGGAAGATGAAGGAGAAGAGGAGGGAGAGAAAGAAGAGGAAGAAGATGAAGAAAATGAAGAAGCAGAGGAAGAAGATAATGATGAATATTATGGAAGGGAGGAAGATGAAATGGAAGTCTGGGAAGAATATGAAGAAGAGGAGGAGGAAGAGGAAAGTGAAGAGGAAACAAGAGACTATTACACATCTTCCATACCTTTTTCTTATTTAAATCTCTCCTTACCTACTTTGAGTCCTATGTCCTCTTCCCCATTCTCCAGCTCTCTTAATTTTCAGGGCTCTGAGGAAGAGAGTTGTGATTCAGGAATACTAACTACTCAGAAACCCCATTGTTCCTTCTCAGCAACATTTCAAAGAAGTTTAGACGAAGAAATCAACCATGTGGAAGAAGAGCAGAGTCCAAGCACTACCCAGTGTTTGAAAGACCCTCAATGTTTATTGAATAGTAAACTAAAGGAAAAGATGACTGATTTGGTGTATGCTATGATCTTCAAGTATCAAGCAAAGGAACCAATCACAAAAGTAGAAATGTTAGAGATTGTCAGCAAAGAATACAAGAAACAATTCCACATGATCTTTATGGATGCTTCTAAGTGCTTGTACATTCTTTTTGGCATTGATGTAAAGGAAGACTGTGCCATAAAAAACTCCTATACCCTTGTCAATTCACTGAACCTCACCTATGAAGAAAAGCTGAGTGGAGAGCAAAGAATGCCTAGAAATGGCTTTCTGATAGCTATTCTGGGCTTGATATTCATACAAGGAAACTGTGCTTCTGAAGAAAGTGTCTGGGAATTCCTGAATACAATGGGAGTATATGATGGGGATGACCACCCCATCTATGGAGAGCCCAGGATATTTCTGACTAGAGATTTGGTGCAACAAAATTATTTGTTATATCATCAGGTGCCTACCAGTTGTCCTCCATCCTTTGAGTTCTTGTGGGGTCCAAGAGCCCATGCTGAAACAACCAAGATGAAAGTTCTGGAATTTTTGGCAAGGATCAATGAGAGTGACCCACTTTCTTTTTTATTTTTGTATGAAGAGGCTTTAAGAGATGAGGAAGAGAGGGCCTGTGCCCAAAGTATCTCTCCAAATAGAAGTGCTGTCACATTGATGGCAAAGCCTGCATTTCCATCTTGTACCCAGAGTGACAGATTTGTTTTTTAATGTATTCACTCTGGGTTTGAAAAGATCAGTCAAAATTCTAAATAATGGAAGGTGAAACGTAGCTTGAGTGGAAAACAGTGGAGCACACCATTGTTAATATGCTATTTAGGGGATCAGATGTTATTTCTTATAGTGAAAGATTTACTAGCTTTGCAATCTAAGTTATGAATGTCTGTGATTCACAGATTTCTTGCTATTTGTTATGTTTTTAAAAAATACAGAGAAAAAAACTATGTGATGTTTTATTTTTAGATCGATATACTCTTCTATTCTGTAAAATTACATGCTGTATTTCTATATGTGTGGCTGGCAAAGCAAAACAAAAACAAACCAGGAAAATACCAGTAAATCATAGCAAAGTTTCTGTTCACTGACTCCCATATTAGTTGAATATTTTGTCTTTGGAAGATACTAGTATATTGGCACAGGAAATGTAGATAAGTTAGACACACCCCTCTTCAGACAGTTATTGAATCTAGGTTGAGTTACTGTATCAAGAACTAGTTGGAATGTCTAATAGGACATATGGGCTAAAGAAGAGAGGGTTCTCCATATGTTTCCTGTGTGGAGGATGCTCAGGTGTCCTACTGTTGTCTGGATAGACTCGGTGTTTGTAGTAAGTCTGTACTCACAAGTGCTGAAAGAATTTTCTGAGGAGAAATATGGGAATCTCTTGGGTTACTGCCAATCTTTCTCCTGGTCTGCAAGACACAGAACCCATTCTATTATTATTGCATCCTGATTGTTATTTGTCAAAATCTAATCCAGGTTAAGGATTTGGTGGTACTGTATTTAATTTAAAAGTATGTTCAGAAATTAAGCAGGTAGAACGGAGGAAAAAAGTTGGTCTTTGAGGAATTCTAAGAACTCTGAGTTATTTTAGCCTAGAAGTTAAGCTTCAACTCTATAATAATATATCATCTAAGAGGGAAAATAACATGACTTTTATTTGGAATGCTGAAATTTTGTTTGTTTGTCTCTCTTTTTGTTGTTGTTAATTTAAATTAAAAGCCATCTTACTTTACATACCAATCCCAGTTCTCTTTCCTTCCTGTCCTCCCATTCCAGCCACTAACCCTCATCTCAGTCCTCATCTGCTCTCTAGAGAGGATGAGGCCTCCCATGGTGGATCATCAAAGCATGTCATGTCATTTGGGGCATGGCCTAGGCCCTCCCCCAAGTGTCTGCTGAGAGAGTATCCCTCTATGTTGAATGGGCTCCCAAATTCCATTCGTATACTAGGGATAGATACTGATCCACTACTAGAGGCCCCATAGACTGCCCAGTTCTCCTAAATGACACCTGTGTTCAGAGAGTCTGTGTTGGTCCTATGCTGTTTTCCCAACTATCAGACTAGGGTCCTTGAGCTCCCCCTTGTTCAGGACAGCCGTTTCTGTGGGTTTCTCCAGCCTGGTCTTTACCCCTTTGCTCATCACTCCTTCCTCTTTGCAACTGGATTCCATTAGTTTTGGCTCAGTGTTTAGCTGTGGGGGTGTCTGCTTCTATTTCCATCAGGTACTGGGAGAAGGCTCTAGGATGGCATTCTTTTGTTATTCTGTACCATGATTAGCTGCTTCTTTTCTGAGATGTTATAGACAACAATATCAAAACCTGAGGTAGAGGATGGTAAGTCCAAGTTCTAATATTATTCACCCAGCCATTCATTAAACTATCTATATAATTGGGCAGTTTACCAGGTGTTTTATTTAGAGTCAATGAATTTTCACTGTGCTGCCACATCTGCTGCGAGGAGCAATCTAATGTTCCTAGTGCTTAAGAATACCCCCAAGGTCATGTAGCTGGTATGTGCCAGCACTCAAAAAGAGTTTATCTAGAGTACACATTGTTCTAGCTCTGTTCAGCCTGGAGGCACCTTCAGTTTCTTAATCCATTTTCTCCTATTCCAAAATGTCTTAGCTTAAAAAAAAAAAAACTGTATCCACATACTAGAAGCAGAAGGGATGATAAATGAAAATAAAACACAATGTTAGATTGTGTGAGAATTGACTTGCTCTCTTCCTCAGGAAATTTCATTGCTGGCTTTCCCTAGATGTGGGAAGTTCATTACTATTACCTCATTTTCTTGAATCAAAGCAACCTTCCTCTGGTGTTTTCCATTGTTTACTACTCCCTAAGGCAGGAATCTCATGTCTTGACCAGATCAATACTGCATCCTCCTCTCCAAGTTATGTCCCTCTTCTAGTTACATTATTTCTTATTCTTGCACAAGGGTCATGCTAATATTCTCTGTATCGTTTCAGTTTTAGTGTATGTGCTGCTGAAGCAAGCACTAGTGACATTATTTGTTACAGCTGTCTTTGTCCTTCCCTTGACATAGGACATTCTAATTCTATGTACAAGTTCCCAAACTATGCTACCTTTCATTCTAGATTCCCTCTGCTTTGGTTTTACATTTCCTCCCCTTCAAAAATGCACTGGAAAGCAAATTTGTTATGAGGGTCCTTCGCTCATAGCTAGATTAGCACTGTTATAAAAGGCATGATATTTGAATAAAATCTTTGTTCTTTTGACCTTTGTGGAATTTTGGGAGCCTTTGTTTGCTGGGCTGCAGCCAAAACCATTATGTGGTTCACCCTCTGTATTAGCCCCATGTTGCTGAGCCATATTGTGGGAACTTAACTTTATGGGAACACAGACAGAACCAGCTGACTTCCTCTCAGGTACAAACTGAGGGCAAGTCAACTGGATCTGATTGTGTCCCTGCAAAGCCTGGTAACTGGATCTGATTGTGTCCCTGCAAAGCCTGGTTCCTACATGGAATGTAAGCAAACATCATTCATATTCCCTTGAGAATGACTCTACAGCTTTGGTGCTTACAAGCAGAAAATAGTTCACACATGACTCCCATCTTGTCAGTTTCTTAGTTTTGAACTAGTTAAACTCTAAAATAATTTTCCTATTGTCTTAAGCAAAATAGCAATAACCTACTCTACCACGAGCATGTCCTGTGGACATAACTTAAGATATTGAAACACTGATAAAACATTTTGACTTTACTGGGAGAGTCAAGAATTTGGTAAGGATTTTAAGAGCTAAGGGGAATTCCAATCAGGACATTATCATCATGTGAGTAGAACCAAGGGAAAGTAAGTTTAGTGAAACCATGAAAAGAGTAAAAGGGAAAACAATTGAGAGAGCTGGGCTTCTCCTCAACCCTGAACACCAAAATCAATATAGGGTGGAATAGGATTCAAATGAAAATCTAAAATGTGGAGAATGTAGGTTAAGGATGGTGCTAGGAATGAGGAACTTTGTAAATAGGCTTTGGGAATGCTGAGTCATCAGTACCAGTCAGACATTTCAGTGTGGTCTAATCAGCTCTAATAATGGATTGGGCAGTGAGCCACCCCTGTGTTCATCCAAAAGGACACAACAATGTCTTCTGCATCCATTTGATTGATATGTTTCTATTGACCATGATAGCGATCCAGTGTACCTTGCCCTATGTCTCAGTATTGGAACATCCTTGAAGTCTACTGAGGTATTTCTCTTCCTTCACTGATGGAAGTCTTCCATAGACTGCAATTCTGTTGGCATCTAAGGCAAATATCAGATGACTTCAGTTGAGACAGTCAGACAGGAGGCAATGAAGGTATCATTTAACCAAGTAGGATTAAATAGAAGTAGGAATTTCTTGGGGCTTGGTGTCAAAGTGACATTGTAAATAAAGGAAATGATGGGTGTTTCCAAACAGAAATATAGAGTCACATGGATGTGCCTAACTCAGTTATCTTTTTGGATTTTAAGGTATCAGCATGCTAAGGATTGGATACTATAATGCTTTAATAGTTGGCCTTCATGTACACTAGATTTGATCTAGGGTAGGTGTTAGTTGCAGGATGGAAAATTTTGCCAGAATATGAAGATGGCATACTTCTCTCTGAAACTAATGGAAACTGATGTATTCAAAACTGAAGCATGATACATCATGTGACTAAGAACACTGTTGACTTGAACATGATGTTTGTACCTAAAGACAAGATATCTATGTTAATGTTAGCCATGGTATTTCCCATGGGAATTCTGAAGTTACATGAACAGTTTTATGCATTAGAATTTTTCCATGTAGATAGATAGCTCAGGCAAAGGACATGTTCTACATTTCAAGTTCCCGAATGTGACTATCCACTGTTTTGATTTAATGATTCATATTTTTGTTTTCTTGTTTCTCCATCAAATTTTTACTGAACATATGATACAATAAGAAGAGTAAATAAGGCTGGGCACTGGTGGCACATACCTTTAATCTCAGCACTCGGGAGGCAGAAGCATGGGTTTCTCTGTGTGTTTGAGAACAGGCTGCTCTATGAGAACTAGTTCCAGGACAGCCTCCAAAACCGCAAAGAAACTCTGTCTTGAAAAACCAACAAACCAACCAACCAAACAAACAAAGAACAAGAAACAGAAAAACAAGCAAACAAACAAAAACAGTAAATAAACAAAGCAGAAAGCAGAACTAAACTATAAGGCATTTAATTTGGATAGTATGTGAGAGCACAGGGGGAGAACGGATCCTTGAAACTTTAGGAAAGTTGCTGATAAGATACAATATTATCCTAGTTTGCTTTATATTATAGGCTATGACCAAAAGCAACTTGGGGATGAAAGGGTTTACTTTACTTACACTTCCATATCTTAGTCCATTCATTAGGAAGTTAGGTCAAGAACTCAAGGGTGGAACCTGGAAGCTGGAATTGCAGCACAGGCCAAGAAGGAATAATGCTTACTGGCTTGCTCCCATGGCCTTTTCAACTTGCATTTTTATATATTCAAAGACTACCTAACCATGGGTAGCACAGCTGTCAATAGCCTAGGATTGCCACATCGATTATTTATTTTAAAAAATGGTCCATATGTTGCCTCAGGATGATCTCATGGGTATATTTTCTCTGTTGAGATTCTGTCTTCCCAAATGACCCTAGAACATACACAACCCTCTTAGTTGAGATTGAGGTTCAGTGTAAGAGGTTTTGTTGTGATTTGAATTAGAAGTAAAGATGAAAAAGGATGTACTTGAAAGTTAGCATGGGGCACAGAAATAGTGAAATTAGAGGACTGTCTACTGAAAGTGTTCAGTGGGCACATAGGGACCAGAGTTAGATTGTTAGGGGAGGGATCTGAGCTAGAAACCATGTTAAGCTGAATTAAACATAGAGGTTGTTTAAAATGGTTGTCCTCCTTGTGACTAGATATGGAGTTGGGTTACTGGCCTAATACTTTATTGGGCCTGCTTAGACCATACCCAAAAGCCTGATAGTACTGACTCAAGTATTTCCTAGGTCTGTTCACAAAGGTCTCTTATAATACTACCTTCCTTACAAAACAGAAGATAATGTACATTCTACAGGATGCCATTTGTAAGATGCATAATTGTGTGTGTGTGTGTGTGTGTGTGTGTGTGTGTGTGTGTGTGTGTGTGTATGTGTGGCTTTACAATGTAAATTGCTTCTCACATTTACATAGAATGGAAAAGTGTCCTTTTAATTAATTTCTGGACTTCTTCATTACTCTTCCAGATTCAGAGACAAACAAATATCCAAAACCTGGGTATTTGATTTAGTATGTTTCCACAAAAGTCTATCCACCTTCAAAATATTTAAAAATATTTTTAGGTATTCCTGATTTAATGTGATACAGTGAAAAAAAAATTGGAACAAATTTGTCAATCCTGTCTTTGGCATGGGTAGTCTTTTGTAACACAAATTTCTCTAGTGCATTTTCTTTCTCTGGCATTGAGGTAACTTCCTTTCATCTGTGGAGAACACTATGGACTGTTTCTACTCTTAGAGCCCCTGCTTGCCTTTTGCAACTTAGGTCTTCAATATTGGACTCTTGTCTTCTCTCTTTTGCTATAGTGACAAATACATACTACAGCTCTTTGAATATATAAACTCTTTCATTCTTAGGGCTTTGTGCTTTCTGGTCTCTACTTCTATACCTCTTCTTCCAGTCTACAAGTGCTCTTTGCTCTAATGCACTTTAAGTCCCTGTTCCAATGCCACGAATTCAGTAGAGCCCAACTCTGCCACTATTTCCTTTTTATGGTTTTTGTTTTAATACTTTGATGACTAGGTAAATGTCTTATTACTTTTTTTAAATGCACAACTTAGAAAAATAGTTAAGGGGTTTCACCAGTTTTTGCTAAAGACATTAGTTTTAAGCAGTTACAATTCGAAAATAAATGATTAGGCAATGCAGGCATGCACATTGGTTACTATCATGAGAACACTATTAATATGAATTGTTTAATTCCAACTAGTGCCTTAATTATACATTCTGCATGCTAGTTATGTTTTGTTCAATTAACTATGTTAGCTTTGGGGTGGGGGGGTAAATCATTCATCCAGATAGTTCATTCGAAGTGACAACAGTAATGATAGCAATAAATAATATTGTTGAAAAATGCCCAAATCTCTTCAGCAAAGGCAGGCTCCATATTGTCTCATGGTGAAAACCTTAGTTTATACTAATTCAGAGACCACTTTTTATTCTGTGGCACAAATAGGATTATAAACAAAAGTCTATCTATAGTAGGGCTACTGATTTTTTTAGTTAATCTTGTATTCTTCCAATTTGTTTCTAAATAAATTAAAATGTATACAAAGAATATAGATAAAAGAAGAAATTATTAGTCTAGCAATTGAGAAAAAAAAACTTTTGCTTAACTTGTCCTAAACTAGCCAAATTCAAAAAAGCTATATGGAAGGACTCTCTCCTCCCACTTTTGTCAAACGTACTGGAACATGTACACAAATAACATTGTACTGACTGAGGAGCTTATATTTAGAAACATATTTGTATGTACATGACCATATGTAATAATGAATGCAAAAAGAGGCCATGAATTTGACAGAGAGCAAAAAAATGGTATATGGGATATATGGGAAGGTTTAGATTGTGCAAAGCAAAGGGAAAAATGTTGCAATTATAATCTCAAATATAAAAGTTAAAGTGAAAAAGAGAAATGGAAATTTGATCTCCCATTCTGTGCCTGGCTGAAGCTGGTGAGGATCATATTTCCCTGTAAAGGTAGGAAGTGAATCTTCCATCCCATGCCTAGAGAAAATTTCTCCACATGATATTGTAGGGAGAATGATAGGAGTGATACTTTATCTAGCAATTGTCTGATTTAGGAAGGACTTGTTTTTTACTCTTCTGTAAAAGTACATACTCTTGTGATCTGGTCGTTTTCTACTTTAATGATGATACTGAACTTGATGCTTTCAAAGATGGCTTAGTTAAAACTCTGCTATGGAGAGTGCTTTCAGAT